TTAGAATTATGCTGGCCTACTTAAACAAGTTTGGAAGTCTTCCTTCTTCTTGAATTTTTTGAAATAGTTTGAGGAGAATGGGTGTTAGTTCTTCTTTAAATGTTTGGTAAAACGTCCCTGTGAAGCCGTCAGGGCCTGTGGTTTTGTTTGCTGGGAGAGTCTTGATTACAGCTTCAATTTCCTTAGTTGTTATTGGACTGTTCAATTTTTCTATCTCTTCCTGGTCCAGTCTTGGGAGACTCTGTGTTTCTAGAAATTTGTCCATTTTGCATAGATTGTTGAATTTGTTGCCATATAATTGTTCATAGTATTTGTTAACAACCCTTTGTATTTCTGTGGTGTCAGCTGTTATTTCTCTTCTTTCATTTCTGATTTTGTGTATTTGGGTTCTCTCTCTTTTGGTTCTTGGTGAATCTAGCTAAGGGTCCATCAATCTTATTTATCTTTTCAAAAAACCAGCTCTTTATTTCATTGATCCTTTGAATTTTTTTTTGGTCTCTATGTCATTTATTTCTGCTCTGATCGTTCCTATTTCCTTCCTTCTACTTGCTCTGGGGTTTTCTTTTTTGTTTGCTTTCTAGTTCTTTAAGATGTGGGGTTAGATAGTCTATGAGTAATTTTTCTTGTTTCTTGAAGTAGGCCTATAGTGCTATGTACTTTCTTCTCAGACTGCTTTCACTGCATCTCATAGATTTTGTATTGTTGTGTGTTCATTTTCATTGGTTTCCAGGAAGTTTTTAATTTCTTCCTTGATCTCCTCGATAACTCATTCATTGTGTAATAACATGCTATTTAGCCTCCATGTGTTTAAATGTCTTTGCATGTTCTTGTTGCAATTGATTTCTAATTTCATGCCATTGTGATCTGAAAAGATGCTTGATATGATTTAAATCTTCTTCAACTTGTAGAGGCTTAGTTTGTGTCCTAACATGTGGTCTCTCTTTTAGAATGTCCCTTGTGCATTTGAGAAGAAATGTAACTTCTGTAGTTTTGGGGTGTAATTCTTTGTCGATAACTATTAAATCCATTTGGTCTAGTGCTTCATTTAAGATATGTGTTTCCTTGCTAATTTTTGTCTAGAGGATCTATCCAGTGATGTTAATGGGGTGTTAAGGTCCCCTGCTATGATTGTGTTGCTGTCAATTTCTCCTTTGAAGTCCTCCAGAAGATTTTTAATATATTTTGTTGCTCTTACGTTGGGTGCATATATGTTTATCAAGGTTATATCTTCCTGTTGGACAAATCTTTTCAATATTATGCAGTGGCCTTCTTTGTCTCTAGTTATGGCCTTCATTTTGAAATCTATTTTATCAGATATGAGTATTGCTACCCTAGCTTTTATTTCCTTTCTCTTTGCTTGGAAGATTTTTTTCCATCCCTTCACTCTCAACCTATGTGAGTCTTTTGTTGTGAGATGGGTCTCTTGTAAACAACATATGAGTCATGCTTTCTTATTCAGTCAGCTACTCTATGTCTTTTTATCAGAGTATTTCCATTTACATTTAAGGTGATTATTGATATGTACATATTTATTGCCATTTTTGTTTAGTGGGGTTATATTTTTCTTCCTATTTTTTCTACTAATTACAACAGTCCTTTTAACATTTCTTGCAGTGCTGGTTTGGTGCTAATGTATTCCCTTAGCCTTTTTTTTTTTTGTCTGGGAAGTTCTTTCTTTGACTTCTATTTTGAATGATAGCCTTGCTGGGTAGAGTAGTCTTGGATTCAGATTTTCATGACCTTGATTACTTCATTCCATTTCCTTCTGGCCTGTAGTGTTTTTGTTGAGAAGTCAGCTGATAACCTTATGGAGTTCCTCTGTAGGTAACTTGTTGCTTATCTCTTGCTGCCTTTAGGATTCTCTTTGTCTTTAATTTTTGGCATTTTAATTACTATGTGTCTTGGTGTGTGCCTGTTTGGGTTTTTCTTAATTGGGGCTCTCTGTGCTTCTTGAACTTGAATGCCTTCTTTCTTCACCAAATTAGGGAAGTTTTCTGTCAGTATTTTTTTGAATATATTCTCTAACATTTGCTCATTTTTTTCTTCTTCCGGAACTCCTATGACATGAATATTATTACATGTCCAGTTGTCTCACAGTTCTCTTAAACTGTCTTCTTGTTTTTTAATTGTTTTTTTCTTTTGGTTTTCTGATTGGTTGATTTTTTTGTACCCTGTCTTCTAATTCACTGATCCGGTCCTCAGTTTTCTCTACTCTACTCTTTAGTCCTTCCAATGTGTTCTTTATTTCTGCTATGTCACTCTTCATTTCTTCTTAATTTTGGTTTTTAATTTCCAATTGGTTGATTTTCAATGTTTCTCTATGTCTTTACTCATGGTGTGTTGATGTCCTTACACATGCTGTTGAGCTTCCTCAAAATCATGGCTCTGAATTCTACATCTGATAACTTGCTTAACTGCATTTCATTTATCTGATCTTTGGTAGAGGTCTCTTGTTTTTTAATTTGGAATTTGTTTCTTTGTTTCACCATTTTGGCTATATCAGTGGGTTTTGGAGCCTGGCAGATTTACCCTGTGGGTGTTGGTGTTCTACTGTTTTGGGCTCCCTCTACTGGGTTTGGATGAATGTGGTAGGACCCATGTTAAACACCACTGTCAATTCTTACTTTCCTGGGTAGAGTTGCAAGCCAAGGAAAGGTTCAGTTAACCTCTAGCTTTTTGCCTGGAGGCTATTAGTCATGCTTACTTGAAGAGCCTTGGGTTCTCATTTGAATGAAAAACTCCCTCAGGTGTTTAGCATAAGGGGATTTTCCAAGGGTGGGGCAGATGCTGGTTATTAATGAGTATCAATTTGCATTTCAATGGCCTACAGGGTGGGGTTGAATCTGCGAGGGAGGGGCTGCCGCCTCTACCCAAAGCCCTGCGAAGGAGTAAGATGACCATTGTCTTGCGTAGTTGCAACTGAGCAAAAGCTTTGAGCACCCTCCAAATCCCGAGTATCCCCATACAGTTCCAGTGCTCCACCCTCCCTCTGCTGAAGCCCAGTGTGAGTGGTTGTAGCTAATTTAGTGCTCTGTCTTGCCTTTCTGTGCTGTGGAGTGGGCTTGGGACTTTAACCCCGAGGGTGGGCGCTGATCACAAGTAAGACTGCTGCTGTCCGTGGGTTCCCAGCCCCCCTCTTGTGCCTCCACAATCCTACCAGGATTGATTCAGTGTCCCTGATTATATGGTCTTCACAAGTTGCTTTTCCCTAATGATTTGTCTTTATTTTATTTGTAAATCAAGTTTGGTCCTGGAAAATGGTCTGTGTAGCTTCCATTCATTCCACCACCATTTTGGAATCCTCCTTAAGCAATTTTTTTAAAGATTACATTTAAACTGAATTTTAACTGTGGCCATTTGATTTTCCACCTCATAAGCAAATACAGAAGCACATAAAAGCAAAGTTACCTCCTGCCCTGCTTTTCACAAATTGATGAGCTATTGATTCATTCATAATATAATGTTTCTAGAAATATTATACTTTAATGAAGTTGAGAACATTGATACATTACAATGTGCATCAAGAAGAAAAAAGTAGCTGTTCTTTTTATTTTATGCTGCCAAAATAAATCTTAAGAAAAAAATTCTAAAACAAATATCTCACACATACATGTTCTGTCGTGGGATGGCAGAATTTTTCAGAATCGTCAGTTCAGTGGATATTACCTTTTGCAGGATTATGTGAATTTAACCCTGAGAATATTGAACTACTTAAATCACAGTTCCAAAATGTCTCTAATGCTCCCTAAGTTCAACAAATGAGTGCCTTACCTATACAAATCAGCTCAGCATTATGATCTCAACTGTCTTAATTTGAATACCAGAATAATAAAGATTTTAAAGAGCTATTAATGTTTATTTCAAATAATTAGAACAAAAATAAAACAAAATAATCATAAGGGTTAATTTACACATATCATATTATTTTGTGGTAAAATAATATGATCTATGTGAAGGTATTATATCATAATCATCATCACTAATTACATGAGAATATTTAAGATTTTGTTTGTCATCAAGATCATGAGTCAAAGAATCCCCGAGGGACCAAGAGATTTGGCCGGGCCCCCTCCTGAGTCCGTGAGCAGCAAAGGACAATATTTTGTTTCCACAAAACCAATCTACTAATTAGCCTCCAAGAAGCAAGCCTTTCTGCAATGTTTTAAGTAAGGTAATTATTTCGTCTAACATCTCCTATGGCAGAAATTCAAATATTAAGGAAATATAAGTATTCATTAAACCATTTATTTTATTACATAATCAAAAGGATTAGCAAATGTTTCATTAGCAAATAAGTCTGTATATTACAATGGTATTTAAAATAATAAATTAATACTGGGATAGGCACTATTAACATACAAGCTTTTCAATTGGAAAAATACTAAATTAAACTTCTAAAAATGTGGGTATGTATTTTACTCTTTTATATTTGAAATACCATTGTGCCCATTAAAACAATTACTTTTTATTCTGAGTGCATCCAAAACAATAAGACAACAACAACACAGAACAGATATAACTATTACAAATCCTCATATAACTCCTACTTCACTTAAATGAGGAAGATATAAAAAAAATTATTTTATTAATTTATTTTTGTTACAGATATTTCTCCTTTTTCCCCATTGATACTCTCTTCCCGATCCCCACACCCCACCTCACCCCATCCCCAGCATTGTTATCTATGTCCATGGTTATACATACATGCATATAAGTTCTTTGGTTTATCTCTTCCCTCCCCCTGTCCCCCTCTTCTGAGGTTTGTCAGTCTGTACTCTACTTCTATGTCTCTGGGTCTATTTTGTTCATCAGTTTGTTTTATTCGTTATATTCCACAAATAAGTGACAGCATGTGATATTTGTCTTTCTCTGATTGGCTTGTTTCACTTAGGATAATACTCTTCAGGAAATGAGGAATGTTTTAAAGTTTTCTGAAGTATTTATTGGCCTCAGTAACCAATTATATATATTCATTAGTAGAAGATATTCCTATATGTTTCTTTTGGGTCAAATTAAGTCAATTGGTATTCAAAGACCTGAAATAAGGAGATACATTTCCATAGAAAAGAGAGAATTGTGATCTGATATTCTCACCCATAAAATATAAATAGATTTATATTATTTTCAAGTAAAACTTAAATTCACCATGAAACTTTTTAAATTAGGAAAGTTACTCCTTTGTTACTTTGGCATTTACATAAATTTAATGTACTGAATTTCTAGATCCAAGTGCTACTTGCAACTTATGATGAAAGGCATGTTTTCGTTCTTTCTGAACTGGCCAGTTCAAGATACAGCGAGATTTAAACATTCCTCTTCGCAAACAGAGTGCGTGGTTCAGTTTATAATCCGGAATCTCCTCCAGGAAGATCAAGATGATGGAGTCCAGATTTTGTTCAATAGCTTTCTGGACTGCTTGATGTACCTTGAATCTAAGTAAAACAAAACAAAACATTGAATTGCATTATATATCAATATACAGTTTTCAATAGCCAAAGCTCTAAAACCTAAAATTCCCCTTAGAAGTTACTTTAATCTGGCACTAAAAGATTATATTTTTCCATAATTTTAGTTTTAAAATTCTTTGAATAAAGTGTTGGTAATATTTAAAAGCTCAATTTCAAAACAAGTATATACTTCAAAAGTCACAATGTTCACCTACCTTTTGCATAATGAATCTTTTAATAGATTCTGTGTTATAACAAAAATTGTTTTTCTGCTCCTTTTGATGCTATCAACAATTGCTTCAAGTTCAAGGACACCTGCCGGAAAGTCCCTTTCTTCCAGACAAAATCTGAGCGTTTGATCTTCTTCTTCCATTGGGGAGAAATTTTCCCAGACCCAATCCCTGTCTTCATAAGCATGAATTATGTATGCCGCATAATCAAACTGTTCTGGCTGTTTATCCATTTCCTTGAAACCAAGAGCCTGATGCACTAAAACATTCCAATAAAAAGATATCCTCCAGCCTTCAAAATGGATGAACAGTACAATAAAGGTAAAAATCAATAGGACACTAGTATTTATAATGCAAAGGAGTTTAAAGGGGGCACTGTCTTTGCAGGGTGATATATCAAAAAGCATTACTGGAAAACCATGATATTGGGGTGGGGTATTGCAGAGGTAATGGCTTGGTAGCTCTGAGATGTTGGTATGGGTACTATTGATCCAATTAACAAACCAGGCAATACTTTCACATGTGCAATCAAATGGATTGAAGCTCATGTCTAAATAACTCAGGTTCTTGAAAGCAGGCCCGAAAACATTCTTCTCAACGGATGTTATAAGATTCTTTTGAAGGCTCAATGACTTTAGAGACCCTTGATTATCAAAGACAGATGATGGAAGTATGTTTAAATTATTCAATCCTAAACTGACACCCTTTAACTGAAATAAGTCCTTGAAGGCCTCTACTGGGATCTCATCAAAGCCGTTAGATTCTAGATTAAGGAAGTGCAGGTGAGAAAGACCCTTTAGAAAATGCACAGGACCACCAGGATTTGCCTGCTTCCAGAGCCGAGCTAAGTTGTTATGCTGCAAATCCAGAATTTCCAGTTTCTCCAGACCCTCCAACAGGTCATCGTTTATGTTGGCTAAGTTGTTGTTGCTCAGATCGAGAATGGTCAAGTTACGAAGAGGGAGAAGAGGTGAAGGCGAGCTATCCACGTTTTTAAGGGCCACCCGTCGGAGCATCAGTTGTCGAAGGCTTGGAACCAAGGCAAAAGAGTTGCTGGTCAGTTGTAGGTATCTGTTGTAGGAAAGGTAGATTTCCACAATGTTTTCGAGACCTCTCCATTCCTCACCGGTGAGTTCTTGCCCAATTTCATTAATGCCGAGGTCAAGCACCTTTAGGTGGCCCAACCAGGAAAAAGCACCACTCTCTATTTTTGAGATTTTATTTTTGGTTAGGTTGAGCACAAGTAAAGGAGAACGAGCAAGAGATACAAATGTCTCATTTGCTAAAGTTCGCAAACTGGAGAAGGAGTTGGACAGACTTAGATACTGCAGCTGTACGAGTCCTGTGAATGTGTCGCTTTTTATGCCTGGAAGGTTGTTATCGTCCATGTTAAGATACTCCAGATGTGTCAGCCACTGAAAAGAAAAATCATCGATCTTCGGAAGCAAAGCACGGGAATTGCTTTGTTTAGTGAAAGAATTTCTCAAATTCAGATATCTCACATTGAAAAGCCCATAAAAGGAGCGAGAAGACAAATGTCCTATATTATTATACTCCAGGAAGAGATATTCTAGATGTGGAAGCCAAGCAAAGGAGTCATTACCGATGACACTTAAGGTGTTAGAGGAAAGATTGAGCACGGTGAGGTTTGTCTGCTTCAGTCCAGCGAAAGTCATATTGCTTGTTCGGTACAGCTGGGTTTTGCCCAGGGAGAGAGTCTGAATGCTTGTGTTTGACAATTCCAGGCAAAGGTTCTCTGTGAGACTGGGACCCAGCTGGGCATCGTTCAGAGAGAGACCAAATAATTGTCCAATAGCGTGAAAACACCCTGGAGAGAACTAAGAGTGGAGGGGAAAAGAGGTTAATAACCACAACATAGTAGAGTTCGTATGACCTTTGCAAAGCTTAAACACAGTCCATTAGTGCAATCCCTTTGCCTACTCACCACCTTCTCTGGGTTTTCTGTCCATCCCTCCCAGGCACAGCTCCTTACTCCGTGCCTGCGCCACCGCTGCCCCGCCCCAGGCCCTCCCCGCCCTGGCCACAGCCTCACTTCTACAAGCATCCGAGTCTCAGCTTGGAAGTCACTCCTGGCGTCTTCCCTGACCTCTGAGTCTAGGTTGTCCCTGGTACCTGTACTTTACCGCCTGGCTACAGCTGTATTAATAAACTACCGGTAAAGTCACCCTGGGGACAGAGCTTGCTTCCACCTTGGAGACCACTGTTTTCAGTGAACATTCTGGAAGGAATGACTGAATTTTATTTTCTAAATAGAAACGCCCACTTCCCCTTCGGTAACTCTGGGTTCTAACGACCCTCTTTGTCTTTGCACCGTAGTTTTCTCCTGACTCGTTCCTGACATGCTTTCCAGCTTCCTTCTGCTCGGCCCACGCCCTGGCCGGAAGCCTCGGCTGCTCTGGGACGGCGAGGGAAGGGGTGAGCACAAGGGGGCAGGGAGGAGCCCAGGGAGGGCAGCAGCCGGTCCCTGCCGGTCACCCTGCGAGTGCCCCGCGGCCCTGAGTCCTACACTGTCCGAAAAGACAGAAATACAGAAGAAAGCATGCTTCGTTGCAAGTCAAGTGGGTTAATCTGCAAAGCAGGAAATTAGTAAACTAATTACGATAAATTTACATGGTAGGATTATTTTGCAGTAACTAAAATTAAGTGTTTGAATTCTTCGCAATGCCATGGAGCCTGTCCATGAAATAATGTTACTTTTAAATGGCAGGATACACTGTCATCCTCAAAGACCTGATGTGACAGCACGAGATGAGCATGTTTCTGGTCTCACGCTGCCAGGAACTAGCTCTGTCTCCAGATGGTCACCTGTGAGACCTTGAACAAGTCTCTTCATCTTTCTTCATCTCAGTTACTCTTGTGTGTGAAATGATGAGAGGAATAAGTTGGCTAGGGGACTGCGTAAAAATATAAATAACTTGTCACAGTGCCTGACACATGGTTAAGTACTCTATGAATTTAAGCGGCTGGATGATGATGATTATCATTATCATTATTATTTTTTTGGGGAAAAAGCTGGAGATAAACATACCCAACTGTCAGCATTGGCTGTCTCTGCATTGTGGGTTTTGGATGATTTTTATTTCCCCCCTCATTATTTATATATTTTATAAGATTTCTACAATAAATGCTCTAAACAGAAATGCTGTTCAACAATTAACACAAGTAGCTTGCATAAAATATTTAATCATTATCTCTAGAATACTGTGTATACTCTTTTTATGTCTGAAAATTAATACAGCTTTAGAAAATCTGATTTGATTTAGGATTTCCAATGTTCTCAGCCTGGAAAGAATAAAATACAGACACATCTGTATATGAAAATAGTTCATGAGTTGAAGGATCCCCAAAGAGAAGGTTCGTTGGGGTGTGCTCCACCCTAGGAAGGCTTCGGAATCATCTCATGCTAGTTACTTATTAACCACTTACATGCCAGACACGGCTACATTCTTTACCACACAGTCCTGTTGAAGTAGTGTCTATTATTACACCAACTTCAAACCTGGGGGACTGCAGCAGAGAGAACGTGAATGGTTTGCCTGATTGCACCAGTAATAAGAAGAGACAGAGCCCAGACAGGGAGGCCACTAACTCAACCTAACCCTGTGATCTTAACCTTCCTAAGTTAATTCTTTCAGAGATTCTGTATGATACATGGTATTAGTTCTGCTTTACATGTGACGAAATTAAGACCCAAAGAGGTTAAGTTCTCCAAGGTCAAAGCACTGGTCTGTAATGAAACATGGAATTCAGTCCACTTCTGACAGCGGAGCCCCAGCTCCTAATTGCTACCCAACTCCCTTTCCTGTGCGGATGACATCGCTGGCCAAGCGGTCAGTGTAAAATATTTCGGGAAACATGGTAAAGGTTCCACCTCTTTCTGAGGGGATTTTAGATCCCCATCCCTGTGGCCCAGTTAGGGACCGCCCACACGTAAAGATGGAACACAAGGTAACTTTACCTTACTCTTACCTCTTTAATTTGATTTGAAGACAACTCTAATTTTGTTAAAGAAGAATTGCCCAGGAAATCAAGTTCTTCACGTCTTAGTACCTGAATTTTATTATTTGATAATAGAAGCTCTTGGAGATTTTCCAGTTGGGGCTGAGTTCCTAATTTAGTAGATGATAAACCATTATGCGATAGATCTAATTTGATTAAAGCCTAAGAGGAAAAAAATACGTATATTAGTTAGAGTCTTGCCATCAAATGTCATTCCTCTAAATGTATGTAAACCTTAGACATAACTCAACAGCAAAATGTCACCTCTATTATTCTATAGAAAATTGACAGTAGGAGCAGTAAAAGTCTTCGTTGTGATTGAAAATATTATTGTTGCAGGGATTTAGTTTTCTTACATCAAGAATCACTTTATTTCCTCTACCAAAATAAAAGGGCTTGAGCTTACTTATTTATGATACAAGGAATTGTCATGATAAGCATGCATTTACTTATTTATCTATTAATAAACACTTATTTATGATGTAAGAAATAGTCACAGGAAATATCAAACGTGTCATACATATCAGCCTTGAAACTAAATAACAGGTAAAAAGCAATATTTTTTCTTTAAAAGCATGAGTAGAACATTGTCATCCATGAAACTGTAAAAAGATTTTTATATTGAGAAAGATCGATTGCTATGTAAACTTGGCATCATGGCTAGTAGAGATTATTAATTTTTTTTTTTTTTTTTGGTACGTGCCCCTAGTGGGAACCGAACCCTGAGACTTTCTAGTCTGCAGGCCAACGCTCCAACCGCTGAGCCAAATCGGCTAGGACAAGATTATTAATTTTTGTTTGCTTGTTTCGTAAGGGTTGTGGGATGTTCTTTTACCCTGTGCTGTTTTTGAACATGTAAGCTTCCAACGCAAGTAAAAGGTAAGGAAAAGTTGATACATGTTAGGGCAAAATCTTATATCTATTAAAAAGAATAAGACTTTTATGTATGTTTTTAAAATAATAATAACATTTTTTCCAATGATTACTGTAACCTGATTTTGAGGTCTTTGCGTCCAAAGACATTTTGTCTACATCAGAATCTAAGAAGACACAAGAAAGAATTTCAAATAGCTTCCAAGCAAATCATTTAATAAATGTTTCTAAGTGTATTTAAATATGTATGCTGCTCTTGGCATCTGAGGTCAAGAAATGACCGGTTTGTTATAAGCCCATAAGACAAAACAAAACAAAACAAAGAGTTTTGAAAATGGCTCTGGTTTAGGAAAAGCCCTTAGTAACTGCCTCAGATCTAGAAAGAATAAATACAAGGTGGGGCGATGGTAGGTTCACAGCTTTGGTAGGGTATGTGAAACTGCTTATTGTTATATTATATATTAATTATTGTATTATTTTCCATATGAACAACTGTAAACCTGCTTTAGCCTCATCCTGTACATTTTTCATAGGCTTAAAATTCAAGCAAAGTACTGAAAGGAAAAATATAAGTAGTCATTGGAAAAGCAATCTTGTGAGGAGGATTCTAAAATCAAGAGTAGGCAACTTTTAGTTGAACAATTTATGTATCCATGCGTTAAATTTATTTAAGTCGGAATTTGGACTAGCCTTTTTTTTTTTTTTTTCATTATTTCAGGTACAAAATCAACAGCGTTAGGAGGTTATTTGCTGGGCTCCTTATTGAATGTTTCGACTCATCTCTGGTCTCTACCTCTTGTTATCTAAAAAAAAACGTTCTGTTTCTAAGGGGAGGAATCGAGAGAGGCAGAGTTTTCTAAAATTAAGATGGAAATTGATTTAAGATGGTATTTTTCTCTTTGGAAAACATTTTCCATCATAATGGCAATATTTGTGTGTGGCTCCCCTCATCCCCCCAACGTGGGTAGATCAGATTTCTCACTCTTCACCTGGATATCCAAATATTAAGTCTAAAGATGAATGCGTGACTTGAAAACATAACATTAGATAACATATTTTTCCTTTTGTATATGGAAATAAACATTTTCATCTTACCTTCAGGCTTTTAAAGGGATTACTTTGCACTGCATGGATTAAGTTGTACCTAAGATGGAGTTCAGTCAAATTCAGGCAGAAGATAAAGGTCTTATCAGAAAGTTGATAGAGTTCGTTGTGTTGGAGGTTCAAAATTTCCAACAAGGGCAGTTTCTGGCACAGCTCTGGATCCAATTTGGAGATGGAGTTATATCCTCCATCCAGGACAGTAAGTTGGCTGTATCTTGTAAAATTGGCAGGCGGTAATTTTCTCAGTTGATTATGGGTCAGATTCAACACTGTTATGTTTGCTGGGAGGTCATCGGGTATTTGAGTCAACTTCAGATGACTGCAGTCAGCGACTTCATGCCTAACAGCACATTTGTTGGTAGAAGACGTACACAATATCCAGAAGGGCAACAGTCCCAGGAAGCTGGGGATGTGATACAGCAGACTCCGGCTCATGATTCTGCTCTATAACAGAAACATTAACAAGCAATACACAACATTGATAACATATGTTTCCACATGCATTGGTACATTCTTTGTAAAATATCTAACCAAATGTGACTACGCACGTGTTTTTTCTTGTTTGGTTTGCGTGTTTGTTTGTTTTACTATAACTCTTATGATATACAAGTATGCATTCTACAAGTAGTACATCATATGGAAATAATTCAAGCAGCACAGAACGTACAAAATGGAATACACGAACCCCTCTTCATACTTTACCTCCACCCCAGTGGCAATGATCTAAGGTAACCTCTTGACAGTTTCTATTTTTAATGTTCCTAAATAATATGTTGGTGCAACTGTTTCTTCATTTACTGACTTGAAGTACTTTCTTCCCACTATAAGGATAACAAACTATTTCGTCATCATCTTCATAATTTTTCTTTCATTACTTTTAATCTGTTGTTACAATTATAATTTTAAAGACAATACTTAAAACTCTAGTTATTGATCAACTAACTTTAGACAAAAATCTCTTCACTTTTCACCTTGTGATACAGGAAATGTACACCCCTGTGTTTGCTATACACTTCTTCTTTCCTTGCATTTCCTACAATATTGTGTGACATTGTCAAGATATAAAATGTCAGCATTAATCCTAAAACTTGGTCTAGATCAATTTATAAAATCTAAAGTCAGTCAATAACATTTACAACTTTATGATTATATAAATGAACATTCACTGTAGAACCAGTAATACTTAGAGAAACAGTCCTTAGGAGAACAGACCCCAGAATTACACCCTTTGCGTTCTGATCCTGGCTCTTCCCCTTCGTAGCCTCTAGCAAGTTAATTCATGTTTCAGGCCTTGGTTTTCTCGTGTTGTAAGTAGAGGTAATTAGAGTAGCTCCTCCTTAGCTTGTTATGATGGTTAAAGAGACCAGTCTCCCAGAATCTGGAACAAAGCAGTATTTAATGTTATTACTACTATTATCAATCAGCATAATAATCCATGATTGCCAAAGTGATCATTGTAACTAGTTCCTATTTTGTACATTTTTTACTTTATAAAGAAAAATTTCTGCAAAACAGAATAATGTCATATGATAATCACAGCTCATAATTAAACAAGAGGGAAATAGTAGAAGGATCATGCATTTAAAATAATTGAAATTCAAGGAAGTGTATGGATGGTTAGAAAGACTCAAGAAGCTCCTGGATATAAACTTAGCTTTTTGTATCAGGACTTACAGTGACATAACTTTAAATGTTACCTATTATAGTTTTAATAGGTGTAGAACAGTACACAAATCATGAATGTACAGCGTGTTGAATTTTCACGAAGTGAGCGTGTCTGTATATTCACCACTCAGATCAAGAAAGAGCGAGCACCTTGAACCCCTCTCTTGCACCCTCCCCCAGTCACACCCCCTCCTTCCCAGAGACAAGCATTTCCCAATTTCTTACACAAGATATGAATGTGCCCTCTTGCGTTTTATACATCAATGGAATCGCATACGACGTATCATTTTATGTTTGTTTCACTCCACATCAGGTTTGTGAGATTCATCTACAAATGTCCTGCAGCAACATTTATTCATTTTTATTGCTTAGAATAATCCATTCATGCAGAAAATGGCTGTACCACCATTACATCCCCTCCCCCCAACATTTCTAATGAAAAACCCTAAACAACCGCACCATTCGAAGAATTTTGGAATGATCACTATTGTGTTATCATATATCTACCCATCTATCCATCCTCTATTCGTCAGCTCACCAGTAGTACTGCAACATCGGTACCCTTCCCTGTAAAGAGTGTGAATTGCTACCTTCAGTTCAATATTTCTTTTTTTTTAAATTTTTTTAATCCCCATTGACACCCTCCTCCCCATCCCCCCCACTCAGTCCCCAGCTTTGTTGTCCATGTCCATTGGTTATGTATACATGCATATAAGTTCTATGGTTTATCTCTTTCCTCCCCCTCTCATCTGAGGGTTGTCAGTCTGTCCTACTTCTATGTCTGTGGGTCTACCCTGTTCCTCAGACTGTTATATTCATTATATTGCACAAATAAGTGAGATCATGTGATATTTGTTTTTCTGTTTGGCTTGGTTTGCTTATGATAATACGCTCCAGGTCCCTCCATATTGTCTCAAAGGATAAGAGATCTTTCTGTCTTACAGCTCCATAGTACTCCATTGTGTACATGTACCACAGCTTTTTTATCCATTCATCTACTGATGGACAGTTGGGATGTTTCCAGATCTTAGCTATTGTAAATAGTACTGCTACAAACATGGGGATACATATATACTTTCTGATTGGTGTTTCAGGCTTCTTAGGGTATATTCCTAGAAGTGGGATCACTGGGTCAAATGGCAATTCAATTTTTAATTTTTTGAGGTAACACCGTAGTGTTTTCCATAGTGGCTACAACAGTCTGCATTCCCACCAGCAGTGTACTAGAGTCCCCTTTTCTCCACACCCTCGCCAACACTTGTTTGATGATTTGTTGATGGCGGCCATTCTGACAGGTGTGAAATGATACCTCATTGTTGTTTTAATTAGCATCTCTCTGATGATTAGTAATGTTGAGCATTTCTTTATATGTCTCTTAGCCATTTGTATATCCTGTTTAGAGAGGTGTTTATTTAGTTCTTCTGCCTGTTTTTTTTGTTTGTTTGTTTTTTTTTGGTACTTGCCCCTAGCGGGAACCGAACCCAAGACTCTCTGGTCTGCAGGCTGACACTCCAACTGCTGAGACTAACTGGCCAGGGCAACTCCTCTGCCCATTTGTTACTTGGGTTCTTTGTCTTCCTTTTGTTGAGCTGTATGAGCACTCTATATAGTTTGGAAATTAACCCCTATCTGATGCGTCATTGGCAGTGATGCTGACCCATACAGTGGGTTCCCTTTCCATTCAGCTCTCTGAGGCTCTCCCAAACCTCCCCCCACAGCCCTACCAGGGTACCGCCTCTGTTCACAAACTCATGTACAGTTCCCATGATAAGTTCTTCTCCTTGTCTAGGTGACTTTTACCTTTTCTGCACAGGCTATAGATAGAGACAGAATTTCAACCCTGCCTCGGTATCAGTGGGGGATTAGTTCAAGGACTCCACCCCCAGAAATACCAAAATCCACGGGTGCTCAAGTCCCTGATATAAGGTGATGTAGTATTTGCATATAACCTATGCACATCCTCCCATATACTTTAAATCATCTCTAGGTTGCAATAATATCTAAAACAACATAAATGCTGTGTAAATAGTTGTTATACAGCATTGGTTAGGAAATATTGACCAGAAAAGAAGGCCAGTCCATGTTCAGGACAGATGCAGCCATGGAGGGCTTAACTACACAGGAAAGGTAGACAACAGTGTAACCTTTTTCCCCTAATATTTTTCATCTGTGATTGGTTGAATCCACAGGTGCAGACCCTCTGGCTAAGGGCTCGCCGTACCGAGAGGAACAAATTTGTTAACAAAACATATCCCTGAAGGACTGGAAGATATTCCCGGATCTGAAGGTACACTCCATCAAATGCTAGGAAGGGTAAGTGAAAAAGGAAAAACACACAAAGAGAAACTTACGAAATGTAAGAATTATGACCATTCACACACACACACACATACCCTCAAACCATCTCAGAAAAACATATGATCAATTACTTCCAAAAGAAAGATCCTCATTGATAGAAAACTTTTCATCAGCCACTAGAATACAATAGTGACAAGCTTTCAAAATGTTCAGGGAAAATTATTTGGAACCTAAAATTTCACTTCCAGCTGAACAATTAAAGATTAGGAGGGGGAATATTTTGAGAAATACAAAGACTCAGTAAATGTGTAATTGTATAACCAATGTGAAAAAAGTTACTCTAGAATGTTCATCAGTGAAACAAACAAACAAACAAAAATAGAGGATGAAATGAGAGTGAAGAATAAGTTGTTGTTAAATGAAACATAATAAGAGCAAAAAAAAAAAAAAAAAAGCTAAAAAGAAAGAAAGAGAAACAGAGTCACTGGGCCTCACAGTTCTGCAAAGCCTTTTCAGGGTGCATAGCATCCCATTTCTTTGCCCAAGCTGGTGCCAGCATTGCACAGTGGTGAGGACGTAGAGTCTGGAGCCGGGCTGCTTAGAGTTACCACCAGCTACAGTTTGGCTTATACAGCTTGGTTTGTAAACTTCACGTTTTCCCCCCTAAATTTTTACAAATACACTGTATGCAGACACAGACCAACACCAAGTCATATTGTCAAGTTGGAGGGAGCTTCCTGCTGATTCTGCTTCTATCCGACTTAACCCCCATGTGCCCATGCTCATTTCTGATCCTCTCGTACATCTGAATGTCTTTCCACTTTGCTCGGCATAACTTGTTTCTTTATTAAGCCAAAGAAAGCCATATTCTCACTCCTAGGAACAGCTGAGATTTTCTCCTTTTCAAACACATTATCATCACATGCCAGCTCCTGTCTCCTCTCCAGCCAAGAAGACTGAGAAAGAGAGATAAAGTCTTTTAAGCTCCAGGGCTCTGTAATCTTTAAGACAAAGTTGTTTTTTGAAGGCTGTTGCAAAACGATTTTGGTAGCTACCCTCATGTACTTGCCAGGTACAGAACTAGACAAAGGAAACAAACCCCTTTTTAAAATGACTGCATCAAATGTTTTACTCCTGTTCATTAGAAATGTGCTATTATTTGTACTGAGTTATGCTACACTGCTTCCCATACCTACACCTTCTGCCTTTTCTTTCCTGCTCCCAGGTGAATGACTGACTCGATTTCAAGCACCAGATCAGAGAGCAGCCAGAGAAAGCATGCTAAAACCACCCTGCATTCTTGCTTCACCCCGTGTGAGAGATCCCATCCCAACAGGAATGTGAAATCTATACCTTCACGTGCTCTGAGGACAGCTGACCATTCCTCTTGTCATCAGTCCGAATCCAGTCCTGTTCACCAGGAAGGTGGCAAGTTTACTGCAATCTCGAAAGTGAAACTGAACTTTAAACAAACAAAAAAGCCTTTTCTAGTTGGTGCATTCTAAGAAGGGCAAAGGAAACAAAATACAATCTCAGCAGGAGGCATTGTAAATAGCTTCTAAAGACCGCCGCCTTTTTGCTTCTTCAGGTACAGTCCCTGGTCTCATTGAAAGGGTCAGATTTCGCAGGGAAGGTGAAGAGCGGGACTTCCCCCAGCGTGGGCAGGGCCAGTTCTCAGGAGTTAATGAATATCTAACTGAGTGAATTCTTCTATTATTAGCCAGAGGCTGATGCAAACCTCACAATTGAATGGTGTGTCATCAGAGGGACAGAAAAAACACTCAGTTCCCAATCAAAGCTAATTACTTCCATTTCTCTGCTCTCCCTTTCTCTTTTTGGCAGCACTGTAAGTGAAATAAATGCAGAAGCTAACCCTTTGGTTAGGGAAGAGACCAAGTTTCACAAAAGAGGAGCTGACGCAGCCAGGACCACCTTTCCGTCAGGATTTGTGGGGGACATTCCCTTACTGACTTCAACTAGTTCAAGGAATGTGCTTGTGACTAAATAACCACATTTTTATTGTTACAATATAAGATTGTAACTATAATGATATCATAGTAAAATATAACAATTGGCAGGGACTAATCCAACTCCTTAGTCTGAGTAATGAGGAAAATGAAACCTAATTAGGTGAGGGATTTGTGTAAGGACTTACCACAAGTTGCCAAGATGCATTATACAAACAAGTAAAGTAGTAAAACGGCCCGGGACAGTTGAAACATGTCACTAGCTTGACTTGATTGCATAATTAAAAGCAAGAAATAAATTTGTGTCAGGGTGTAAAATGCCCACTCCTGGGCCCCAGACTTAGTTATTGGGTATTTAAAAAGGTCAATATCATGCACAGGTTTAATTTAGAGCAACTCTTAAGAACTTTTTGAATAAACCTTTATTAATGGGAATGACGACATTGGAACAAGCAAACCTGCCGGTGTTAGCATGAAGCCAAAGCAAGACTACATCTTTTCATCCTTAAAACTTCTCACGAGTTTATAATGTGATGAATGTATCATGGACCAAGACAAATAGTTAAATTTACTGCAGGGCATTAGATAAACAGTCCTTTTGAACCGTGTTCATGGGTCTCCTTTCCCAGCCACCATTCAAAAAGGACATTGTCTTGCTCTGTGGCATCTGAAATTCTAGAAGGCATTTTTTTCTTTCTGAACTCTTTCCCTAAAGTAAAAATACAGTTCCTCTTACCAGTGTCGTTTGCATTTCTGCTCTGTAAGCTACAAATGCTTTAAATTAAACTCAAGCAAACTGCAAACAGCAAGAACATTAGCGAAAGCAGGAAGGACACTACACTGTGCCCTCTCGGCCACCTGCTGCTGATGTCTGCTGAGCCACACTGAACTCCGACCTCCCCTCCGCAAACCAGACCGACATTTAACGCACAGGTTTTCTGCCCTGACCTGAACTTTTATTTATTGAAACGAATTTCTTTTTGTAATTTCACAAGGTAGCTGAAAAGTGGCGATAACTTCCTACAGTCAGTCTGCGAAGTGGGTTAGTGTGAATGTTGACATTCTCACGCTGTGGCTAAAGGGTCCTCAAATCCTATGCCTTGAATTTGACATTTGGTTATTAAAATAAAAAATAAAATTCTAGACCCAACTTCACTATCATCCTCCACTTGAAACATCCTAATTGAATTCGAATGAACGGATGTCCACTGGACACCCAGTGAATGCAGACAGATGGCGAAACCATTAAGTAATCATGCTCCACACAAGGAAGTTCAAAGTATCAAAACAACCACAGGTTTCTCGTGCCGCGGGAAAGTAGTGTTCCTTTGAAACCTTTCATAAGCCAAAATGGTACAGAGAGAAGAAACAATTATCATTAATTCAACATGGCAACATGTTTGAGCATTCCCAGACCCAAAACATAACCTACCAAATCACACCGAATAACACCTAAAGTCTAAAATAACACTAATATAGTAAAAGTGGGAGCCATATATTAAATACACAACCTGGCCCTGGCTGGTTTGGCTCAGGGGTTAGAGCATCGGCCTGCATCGGAGTGTCCTGGGTTCGGTTCCTGCTAAGGGCACGTACCTCGGTTGCAGTTTGTCCCCAACCCCAGTTGGGGTCGTGTGGGTGGCGACCACTCCATGTGTCTCTCTCACGTCGATGTTTCTCTCTCTCCCTTCATCCCTCTCTCCCTCCCACTCTATCTGAAGATAGTTAGTTCCAAGAATGTCCTCGGGTGAGGATTAAATAAATAAACAAACAAACAAATAAATAAATAAATATACAACCTGTATAAAGTAGAAATAATGTATATACAGTGTTGTTTTACTTATTGAAAATGCTGATTGAGCCCTGACCAGTTTGGCTCCGCGGTTGGAGCGTTGGCCTGCGGACCAGAGAGTCCCGGGTTCAGTTTCCGCTAGGGGCATGTACCAAAAAAAAAAAAAAAATGCTGATTGATTTTTCCTTAAGTAAAAGATAACTTAATGGAACATCATGATTTATATACCCATCAATCCACCTGACTGATAGGCTTTTCATTTTGTCCACTACTGGATGCCAAGTAAAAGAGACCACTTTACTATTAGCAGGACCAATAGAAATTTCGGCAAGAATGTCCTCGGGTGAGGATTAAATAAACAAACAAACAAATAAACAAATAAATAAATACACAACCTGTATAAAGTAGAAATAATGTATATACAGTGTTGTTTTCTCTCTGGACATAGGCAAGCCTAACACACATACGGTCTTTATTTTGTTTACCATGATTAAGTCGCTTAATTACATCCCGTTTTGCACTAAATGTGACACCCTTACAAACTTCTGTAGGTTTTTCCGATACTTAAAGACATATCTTGCTAATGATGCCCCAAATGAAGTTAGATAACGCACAGATGCTCACAGACGCAGCTCTGGAGGCTGCTTGCTTAGATGCTGAGTGGAGTTCCGGGGACAGGAGCTTGGGGGGCCACTCTGGCTGCTTGGGGTGAATGCGGCCTCAATGACGGCTGCAAAACAGCTGAATGCTGTGTTTACTTTTCACCTCTTTCCCTAAAAGAAAAAATCCCCTTCAGACTTTTTACACTTAGAGAAAACAGGCAGTAATATGGGTCATTCATAAAAGCAAAGCGGCTGAATGAAAACTTTCCAAAAGCAGGCATACCTGTAATAACTTACTGTAATGACACTGAGCAGGACATTAGTGAGAATTAATGCTCAGGAAGACTGATCTCCATTCTGCAATATAAATTCTGAATCAACTGGGGAAATGAAAAAGAAGGCCCAGATTGGAAGGTTTGGGTAATTGATTTGACTACACTTTTTTTTTTTATCACCTAAGAGGAAGCTTGCCTGTATCGTGGGGTGATTTATAATTAGAATATGAGAACCAGTCCTTAAAAAGTGAGAAGTAAAAGTGGAATAAATGTGGGGAGGGGGAAGTTTTACTATGAAAAAGATTTGGAGATAAAATACATAAACCTAATGAAATTCAGAAAGCTCCAATATAGAGTTTACAGTCTCTCTAAAATGCTAGTCTTATTCTTTATTTACATGGAAATAGGCCTATATAAGAGTTGAATGTATACTTTAACATCATCAAAAGAAATGTTGACATTGTTTTTCTTTAAGTTACCTGTTTCTTGCCTGGCCAGTGTGGCTCAGTGGATTGAGCGTCGTCCCATGGACTGAGAGGTCCCGGTTCAATTCCCAGTCAGGGCACGTGCCCGGGTTGTGGGCTTGATCCCCAGTAGCCTCTGGGGCATGCAGGAGGCAGCTGATGAATGTTTCTCTCTCACATCAGTGTTTCTATCTTTCTCCCTTCCTCTCTCTCTAAAAAATCAATAAAATATATTTTTTTTTAAAAAAAAGAGAAGAAAAAAATTATCTGTTTTTTTTTCTTTAATTTATCTTCATTGTTGAAAGTATTACAGATGTCCCTCCTTTTCTCCCCATTAACTCCTCTTCCCTGCTCCTGCCCTCCTACCCCAGCCTACACCATTCTATTGTCTGTCCATTGGTTATGCATATATGCATTAAATTACCTATTTCTGTTGTTTGTCCAAATTTCTACTTGGTTTTAATTGATTTGTAAGAGCTTTTTAGAATATTATAAAAATTAATTTTGACCCAAATATATTGCAAATTTTTTTTGCCTGATATGTTGTCTGAATTTGATTTTTTAAAGTGATTGATGTTTTTTTTTTCCTTTATTGATTTCAGAGAGAGAGGAAGAGAGATAGAAACATCGATGAGAGAGAACATCGATTGGCTGCCTCCTGCACGCCCCCCACTGGGGACCTGGCCCACAACCCGGGCATGTGCCCTGATCAGGAATCCAACCAGTGGCCTCTTGGTGCATGGGTCGATGCTCAACCACTGAGCCACACCGGCCAGGCTAAGTGATTGTTTTAACTACACAAAAGTTCCTCAAGGGAATGATATCAACAGACTAGGAACCTTCGAGGCCTTGTTCCACAGCAGTATGAAAAAACAAGAAACTGGCAGAAATAGCCTGATAGTTGCTCTGGAAAACAACCAAAGGTTTACAGTAACCGAGTGAATGCACCATGAAAAAATATATATGAGACTTCACGGCGTTTTTATTCATGTTCGCACTGCCCTGTCTTCAGCTCAGTGCACCCTTCATTTGGTAGATACAGCTGCTTTATTCTTAGTCATCTCCCATGAACTGAAGACTGCAGAGTAACCTTTATTGGCCACACTCTAACCTCTCTGGGGCTTCCTAAAAAACTGGCTTCTATCTCATAGAACTTGGGTCTCAGGCAAGGAGGAAAGCAGCAGCCACTGCATGTGAAAGTTTCAAGAAGATCATATGCACACAGACACCTGGGACAAAAAGGGATTATAGGTGAGAACCTACAGCAGAACATCTTAAGGCCTTGAAGAGAAGCTGGAATGAGACTGGGATAGGAAGACATTCAAAACCAGCC